TAGTTTGACCATTCACCTGTTGAAAGACATCTGGATTGTTTTCAGTTTTGGGCTATTATGAATAAAGCTGCTATAAACATTTGTGTACATGTTATTGTGTGTACATAAATTTTCATTTCTCTGGGATAAGTGCCCAGGAGTGCAATTACTGGGTCCTATGGTACTTGCATGTTTAATTCTTAAAGAAATGTCCAGATTGTTTTCAAGAGTAACTGTACCATTTACATTCCCACCAGCAATGTATGAGGGATATAGTTTCTTCACATCTTCTCCACCATTTGAATTTTCACTATTTTTTATTTCAGCCATTGTGGTTTTAATTTGCATCTCCCTAATGGCTAATAATATTGAACATATTTTCGTATGCTTATTTGCCATTTGTATTGCTTTTTGATGAAATGTCTGAGTCTTTTGACCATTTTTAATTGAATCATTCATTTCGTTACTATTGTTTTGAGGGGTTTTTACATATTCTGGATACAAGTCCATTGTCAAATATGTGGTTTTTAAATATTTTGTCCAGTTTGTTGTAGCTTATTTTTGTATCTTCTTAACAGAGTCTTTCTCAGAACAAGTTTTTCATTTTGATGAAGGCGAACTTTTCTCTGACGGATCATGCTTTTGGTGTCAAGTCTAAGAACTCTTTGCTTAGCCCTAGATCCCAAAGATTTCCTTGTATATTTTTCTAAAAGTTCTATAGTTTTACATTAAGTCCATGATCCATTTTGAGTTAACTTTTGTATAAGGTATGAGACTTAGGTTGAGGTTCTTCTTCTTCTTCTTTTTCCCCTATTACTCCAGTACCATTTATTGAAAAGGTTATCTTTCCTCCATTGATCATTTTTCTATCTTTGTCAAAAATCTTTTGGGCATATTTGTGTGGGAGTATATTTGCTTTTAATAATGCAAAAATACGTTAGGTTTTGGTAGGCAGAATAACAGACCCTCAAAGATGTCTATGCCCTAATCCCTAGAACCTATAAATATGTTAGGTTACATGGCAAAGGAAAATTAGGATTGCTAATCAGCTAACTTTAAAATAGGGACATTATCCTGGATTATCTGGGTGAGCCTGATTTAATCACAAGGACCCTTAAAAGTGGAAGAGGGAAGCAGAAGAGAAGAGTCAGAGAATGAGATGTGATGACAGAAGCAGGGTCAGAGAGATGCAGTGTTGCTGGCTTTGAAGATTGAGGAAGATGGCCAAGATCCAAGGAATGTGAGTGGCCTCTAAAAGATGGAAAAGGCAAGGAAATGCATTCTCTCCTAGAGCCTCCAGAAAGAAGTGCAGCCCTGCCAACATCTTGATTTTAGCCCCGTGATACCCATACCAGACTTCTGACCCACTGAACTGTAAGATAATAAATTTGTGTTTTAAGCCACTGAATTTGTGGTAACTTGATACTACAACAATAGAATACTAGTAAATGGATATTTTAGAGAAGCTCCCATTGATAATAGGATTTTAAATGTTTGAGTACACCATTTATCTGGAAAGTTTACATAAATGGAGCATCCCAATGATATCAGACAAATGAACTGCTACTCTAGGTAGATTAGTGCATTCAATAGGGAATGATTAGAGAACATATTACTTTTATTTTTGTTTAAATTTCTACATTCATTGTGTCTTTAAATTACATGTTACTTTTTGCTGGGAAGTGTTTTGTTATTGTTTTTGTTTGCATTTCAAAAGTGTTTGAATGTCTTAAGTTTTGCATCAAGGAGCCAGATGTAGCCCCCAAAATTTATATGATGGGAGGTTAACATTCTATTTAAAGAAATATTCCTCATTTTGCAATATATACAAATACTGAATGGTTATGTTGTACACCTGAAACTAATTATTTATGTCTCAATTTTTTAAAGAAAGAAATATTCATTTGACTTTAACAGTAGGCAAATAGAACGTTGATTAATGATTTTGATACTTGTACTAATCCTATTAGTTTTTGAAATAACGGCTTTATCAACATATAATTTACATACCATACAGTTTGCCCATTTAAAGTGTACAATTTCATGATTCTTAATATATTCACTGATATGTGCAAACATCACTACAGAGCACTTGGAATAGCTTATCTCACTGCCTTCTGACTTCCATTGTTTCTGATGAGAAGTCAGCTGTTAATCCTATTGGAGTTCCCTTATAAGTGAGGAGTCTTGCCCTTGCTTCTTTCAAGATTTTCTCCTTATCTGGCTTTCAGCAGTTTTACCATGATGTATCTGTAGATCTCTTTGCAGATGATAGTAGTGATAGTATAAACTACTCGGAGTTTGTTGAGTTTCCTGGATGTGCAAATTAATGTTTTTCAGTAAATTTGGAAATTTTTTAGTCAATATTGTTTTGAATATTTTTTCTCTTTGCTTTCCTTTCCTTCTGGTACTCCCATTACATATGTGTTGGTGCACTTAATGGTGTCCCACGTTTCTCTGAGCTGTTCTTCATTTTTCTTCATCTTCTTTTCCTCTGTTCTTTGACTTGTATAATCTCTACTGATCTATTTCAAGTTCACTAATTCTTTCTTCTGCCAGTTCAGATCTCCTCTTGAGCCCTTTTAGTGAATTTTTCAGTTAGTTATTATATTTTTCAATGTCAGAATTACGATTTGGTTCTTTTTTATATTTTCTATCTCTTTAGTGATATTCTTACCTTCCTTTACTTTAATCATGGTTTTCTTTATTTGAACATGTTTATATGGCTAGTTTGAAGTCTTTGCCTGTTAAATATGATATCTGGTTGCTCTCACAGGCGGTTTCTGTTGCATGCTTTTTTGCTAGTGTATAGGTCATACTTTCCTGTTTCTTTGCATATCTCATAAATTTTTGTTGGAAACTGGATATTTTAGATAATATAATGTAGCAACTCTGGGTACTGGCAGCAGCCCCCCTCCCACCATCAGGGATCTTTATTGTTTACTTCTTTAGTGACTGACTGGATTATTTGAAGTCTATTTACTCCCCAGAGTTTTCCCTACAGCGTAAAGTCTTGATGTTGCTTCTTAGAGGTGCAGCCTTTGGTATGCCCCGTAGTCACTCTAGGGTGACAGTGGTTTTGGCAGGGTTCCTTTTGACTTTTTCCCTGACCACACCCAGCTGTTATATTCCACTAATTGCTGGCTGATTGCTCTGTTGGTTTTAATAGTGCCTTGGGGGCATAAATTGCTCCACAAACCGATCCGGTCAAATTAGGGCTCCCTTGATGGGCTAATTCCTTAGATCAGTATTTGAGATTTCTTCTGACCCCAGGATGGTTCCTCTCAGCTGTCTCTGTCCCTTGTTCTCTCCAGCATGCTAGCCAGCCTAGGCTTGAACTTCTTCACACTCGGTTGGGAATGAGGTCAGTTCCATTGTAGGGAGATTTGGAGCCCTCTATTCTATGACCTGCTTCTCCCCCGTAGGCAAAATCTCTGAACCACAGCTCTGGTGTAGTGGGTAGGGACAATGATGTGCTTCTCTCTGAGTGGCAGCCCCAGGTATCCTAGGTTTGCATCTCTTGGTGTAGAACCCCTTCTCCGCAAGCTGGAGCCAGAGCAGCTGGGGCCTCAGTATTCTTGGTAGCACCACACCCAAGGCATAGCCTCCATCCCAGGAGTAGGGGCCAACTGGAAGGAAGGAGCCCCCACCTGTCAGCCACAGTTGTCTGGAACTTAGCCTCAGAAACAGGTAGCTGAGGGCAGGATGAGAAATGCTGACATCCTGCTCCTCCCAGGAAGAAAGCCTTGCAACTGGGAGCTGGGCAAGAGGGAGCTCTGTGTTCTTGGCTGCTCCAATCTGGTGTGAGATCTGTGCTGGGAGATGGAGGGAGAGGGTCTAGGTCCAAATACCACAAACTCTTTATTTACTGAGTTTTAGTAGATTTCCTTTAATAAATGCTTCTTCATTTGCTCTATGACCTTAGGACCATTTCCAGAGATTTTAAATAGTGGGTTTTAATAATTTCCATCAGTTTCCCTGGGGAGTGGGTCCACAAAGTTCTTCACACTGTCATGCCAGAAATGGAAGTCTCTCTATTAACTTTTTAACATACAGTTTTGTTTCTGTTACTCCTAATGGCTCACAGTGCCCTTGTACTTGGATTTCTTTCTCCTTGGTAGATTATGAGTGATTTGAAGGCAGTAGCCCTAACCTTTACTCCTTGTGGGATCATGATTGCCCCAAGTGGCATTTTGTGTACTGTGGCACATAAAAGAATGTCAGTTACTGTCTTTTCTAGTTTACATTTTCATCACTTCTTTTGTGACTTGAAGTGTCTAACTATGTCTTCCTTTTTTCCTACACTCCACTGCTGGTGTGTTCCCAGAAAGATGGTGCTGCTTTTCTGTCATTGGCCACACACACAGGGAAGGACACTTAAACCATTAGAAGTTTTAGTCAAGAGCATTATGTATTTTTCACAATATAGGAGCTTTCTATAACATTTCTTGTGGTGTATCTATAGATATAATGTTAAATTAAGCTAATTGTTTGCAGGATGAAAGTGAGAAACGGCAGGTGGAAAAGCAGTGTGGCTGTGCTCTTAAAGATGGGACATGCCTGACTTATTCTTTCTTCAGCCAACCATGTCTCATATCTTTCAACCTTGTCCCTCGATAGCTCTGCCTTTGTGACGGCTTTTGCCTTTCCTTCCCCTCCCTTATTGAGGATCCTTGGCTGATGATGACCCCATGGCAGCCCCCCTTTGTTTGGTTGGACAGTGCTCATGAGGCCACATCTGAGGCTCCAGCCAATCCAGTACCATTCATCCTGTGCTGCTTGGGCTTCCTCCTAAGGCTAATATGTGGCCTCAGCCAATCTTTGACACCCTCTGTGTTGGAAAGTTTGATAGTCCTCTTCTCCCATCACTCTAGGTCATTTGAGAATATTCTTGACAGAAATCATTTGATTTATGTGATTTGCCGCTGCTGCTTCTTGGGATCTGTAGGACAGTTTGACTGCCCTCTGGGATGGGTGTGTATGTGTTTGATTGTTTTATTCAGTGTTGTTCTTTTTCCCAGGATGCTCCAGGATGAAACGCCATAGAACTCTCAGCAGCGGTGACAGTTCAGACGAGAGTGAGTAGAACCAGCCAACAGCTGGTAACCTCTGTATCTATACTCCTTGAAGATTTCTTCTTTGACTTAAGGACAAGCTTTTTCATGATTCCTTAAATGGTTAAAAGATAATGTTTCTAGGAAGGAAGCTTGGGGTGCTATTTTTCTTATTCATTTAAATTTCATTAGAAATAGGTAAGTTAGGTGAGAAAATTGGTTTTGTGTGGCTATAACATTTTGTTTTTCACTTTTCATTGACCAAACCAACAAAAGCCAAATCTGATAATGATTTAACAGTGCTTTTCTAGAAAGGAAGAAAAGTATGAGAGCAAAAATTGTAGGCCCTACAATCCTAATTGTAGCTCGGGTACTAAATGTTTGACTACATGAATCATCATTTGTAAAAGGCAACAACTTTATTAACAGTAGCATTTGGGGAAGTGCTGAAGGATGCACAGATTACTTGTTCCACATTTTTCGTTTTTCCAGTTGCTTTTGCAGATCCATTTTCTCCAGGTGGAACATGAATTGTATTATTCTAAAATGTTATGAGGTATGATTATACCAAATCAAATCTCCTCAGCATTAGCATTGTTGGCGCTTTTGTATGCTGGCAGGTCACATATAAATGTTGTTAAACTCCATTATGAGGTTTTCTTGGGTGCAGTTTAACTGTTTTCTTCAGTGGTATGAGATCACTGTGCTCTTCTCCATCATATCTTTCACATTCTCTTGGATGACAGTTATATTAGTGAGTAATCAGTCTCAGTATTTTTTTTCTAATTAGCTTTTGCAGGTCCTTCTACTTCCTTTGCTTCTGGGTCACTGTATAGGAGGAGCAAGTCAAAAATTCCAAATGAACGCAAGAAGCCGGCTGAGGTAAGATCAAATATTCAGTTTTTAGACTTAAAAAATGGATAGATAGCTGCCTCCTGCCTACATAGTTATAATACTCAGATCTTGGAGATGTGAGGAGTTAACTGTGTGCCAGTGGATATGCTTGTTTTCTGATGAACCTTTGTTTTTCCATTTTCTTTTCCCTTTGGGAAAACAGTAATCTTCACACTGTGATTTTATTTTGGTGAGGATACTTAAGTGCCTGGCTTTAGAATATAAAGCCTCCCCTAGCCAAGAAATCAAAGGGAGCCAGACTTTGGGAATTGAGGACTCAAAGATCTAGCCCATGATTGGAAAGAGCTAAGTTGGCAGGTAAGAGGCAGTGCAGGAAGGGATAGATGAGGATGTTACAGATGAAGAAGGGAAGGACTGTGTTGGAGATCTGGGCTGTGGGCTGTGATGGGTCCTCACAGTCTTCAGAGCACTGACAGCCCAGGAAGAACAAGGCACTCCTTGTGAGGCTGGTCATCTTCTGCCCCCAGGGCAGCAAAGTGCTAGGGTTGCACTTCATAATCGTTTAATGTGTCCCACAGACTTTCCTCTGTGACGATTAAATGATGCGAAACTGACCTTGTGTATCTTCACTTCTACTATGAGTAGAGTTCCTTGGCTGCAAAGAAAAAGAATGTATTAGTTAACTATTACTGCATTACACATCATCACAAAATTAATGGCTTAAAGCAGCACACATTTATTATCTCCGTTTCTGTGAGTCAGGAGTCTGGGCACAGCATGACCAGGTTCTCTGTTCAGGGTCTTTCAAGGCTGTAGTCAGTGTGCTGGCTGGGTTATGTTCTCATCTGGAGGTTCTAGCAGAGAAGAATTCTCTTCCAAGCTCATCTGGGTTGTTGGCAGAATTCATCTTGTAGCTGGAAGACTGAGGTCCGTATTTTTTTGCTGGCTTATGGTGGAGGACCAGTCTCCAGTCCTAGATGTTGCTTGTAGTTCCTTGCCGTGTGGCTTTCTCCATAGATCCTCTCAAAACATGGCAGCTTACTTTTTCAAAGCCAGCAAGGGGAGAGTCTTTTCTCCAGTCTGCTGAGACTGAGTCTTATATAACATAACATAATCATGGGAATGACATCGCACCACATCTGCCACGTAACATAACCTAATCAAGAAGTAGCATCCCATCACGTTTGCCATATTCTGTTGGTTAGAAGCAAGTCACAGGTTCCACCTGCTCTCACTCATGGAGGACATTGCTTTAGGCTGTCAGCCAGAGACAGTATTTCTCCCTTTCTCAGAGGTCATTTTTCATTGCCATCTATTGGCAGGGATCTTTCCAGGCACAGTAGAATATCAGAGTGTATTTATGTGTGTCTGTCTCATGCAGAAAAACTTAGGGAGTAAAATCCGTGTAAACAAGAACAGAACAAATTTCCCACCTATCCAGAGGAGGCTTTGACTACGGAATGATAAGAAAGAAACTTTGCTAATACCATTTAGGACAGCTGGTCCTAGAAGATAAAGTGACTCAAGAGCTTTGGGTCTTAAGGCCTGCTGCCTCCAGGTTAGTGAGAATAGCAATCTTTTGTTGCAAAGGATAGGCGATGTGGGCTACTGGCGGCAAATTTGTTTGTTTATACTTCACATTCTGTTCTATAAGATCAGATTCTCTCTTTTGACAAAACTAGACTTGGCATTAGAAGAGATTGGTACAATGTCTTGTTTTGCTGGCTTATTTCACCTCTCTGAAGTAATTTGTCATCGTAACATGGACATTATCACACTTATCATTCATAACTACCATTTATTGAAATTTTTTGTGCCAAGAGCTTTATATTAGATAATCTTGATTGTTTCCCCAAACTAAGCAATTATAAGAATCTCCTTGGGGCCAGCCTGGTGGCGCAGCGGTTAAGTTTGCACATTCCGCTTCTCAACGGCCCGGGGTTTGCTGAGTCGGATCCCGGGTGTGGACATGGCACTGCTTGGCACGCCATGCTGTGGTAGGCGTCCCACATATAAAGTAGAGGAAGATGGGCACAGACATTAGATCAGGGCCAGGCTTCCTCAGCAAAAAGAGGAGGACTGGCAGTAGTTAGCTCAGGGCTAATCTTCCTCAAAAAGAAAAAATCGCCTTGGATGCTTCTTTCATTTTAAACATTTATCTAATAACTTATTTATATCAGTATAGACTCCTGTATATTTATTTTATACATTGGGTTATATTCCAATACTATATATATCATGTTGCTTAAATTGTTCCATAAATCAGTCAAATCATCTTATTGTTTCTCTCTTTTCAGTTTCATTGATTTCTCCTCTTATTTTTGTTATTGTTGCTTTAGGTTTATTTTGTTCTTTTTCTAAATTCTTGAGGTGGGTGCTTAGGCTGTTTGAGATTTTTCCTCTTTTCTAATATGAGAATTTTAGTGCTATAAATTTCCCTTTAAACACTACTTTAGCTTCATCCTATTAATTTTGATATGTTTATTTTCATTTTCATCCAATTCAGTATATTTTTTATTTCCCTTGAGACTTCCTCTTTGACCCATGGATTGTTTAGAAGCGTATTGTTTAGTTTCCAAGCATTTGGAGACTTTCCTGCTATCCTTCTGTTATTGGTTTCTAGTTTGAGTCCATTTTTGTCAGAGAATGTAGTCTTATGATTTCAGTTCTTTTAGATTAGTCTAGGTGTGTTTTATGGCCCAGGATATGATTTATCTTGGGTGAATGTTTCATGGGCATTTGAAAAGAATGTGTATTCTGTTGTTATTGGGTCCTGTTGGTTGATGGTATTCTTCTGTATCCTCACTGATTTTGTGCCTAGTAGTTTTATCACTTGTTCAGAGAGGGCTGTAGAAGTCTTCAGCTGTAATTGTGGATTTGTCTATTTCTCATCAGTTCTGTCAGTTTTGCTTTATGTATTTTGAAGCTCCATCGTTAGATGCATCCATATTTAGGATTGCTATGTCTTCTTGGTGAGTTTATCATCATGTAATATCCCTCTGTCTGTGGTAATTTTGTTTGCTCTGAAGTCTGCACTATCTAATATGAATATCATTTCTGGCTTGCTTTTGATTCATGTTTACATGGTATATTTTTTTCCATTCTTTTACTTTCGGTCTGTATATATGATTATATTTGAAATGAGTTTCTTGTAGATATACAGTTGGGTCAATTTTTAATCCACTCTTTCGATCTTTATCTTAATTGACATATTGAAACCATTATATTTAATGTAAATTTTAGTATGATTTGGTTTGTTGGCCATTTTATTGTTTCTTTTCTATTTGTTCTCTCTGTTTTTATGTTCCTCTGTTTTATTTTCTGTCTTCCTGTGGATTACTTGAACGTTTTTTTTATTTCCATGTTAATTTTTCTGTAGTGGTTTTGAGTGTATATCTTTGTGTAGATTTTTAGTGGCTGCTCTTGGGGAGCAACCTTTAAAAAGGAGGACCATTTGGGGCTGGCCCCGTGGCTGAGTGGTTAAGTTCGCGTGCTCCGCTGCAGGGGCCCAGTGTTTCGTTGGTTTGAATTCTGGGCGCGGACATGGCACTGCTCATCAAACCATGCTGAGACAGCGTTCCACATGCCACAATTGGAAGGACCCACAACGAAGAATATACAACTATGTACCAGGAGGCTTTGGGGAGAAAAAGGAAAAAAATAAAATCATTAAAAAAAAAAAAGGTGGACCATTTACAAATATAACTTATTAGCCTACTGGTCTCTACATTTTAACACTTCAAGTGAAGTATAGAAACCTTACCACTATTTCGGTTTGTTTATCCATCCCCCCATCTTTATAATATAATTGTCTTAAATATTTTCTCTACATCCACTGAGAACTATGTTAGACAAGGTTATAATACTTGCTTCAACCATCAGACATAATTTACAAAACTCAAGAGGAGAAGGATAGTCTATTATAGTTACTCATATTTTCTCTCTCTTGTTCTTCCTTTATTCCTGATATTCCAACTTTCCTTTTGTTCATTTCCTTTCTGTTTGAAGAACTTCCTTTAGCCATTTTATTAGGGTAAGTCTGTTAGTGATAAATTCTCTTAATTTTCCTTCATTTCAGAATGTCTTGGTTTCACTTTCATTCCTGAAGGACATTTTCACTTGAGATAGAATTCTGGTTTGACAGTACTTTTATTTCAGTACTTGAAAAATGTGCTACTTCCATCTGGCCTCCACGGTTTCTGATGAGAAATCTACTCTCATTCAAATAGTTGCTCTCCTGTAGGTAATCTGTCATCTCTTTTCCAGTTGCTTTCAAGATGTTTTTTTGTCTTTAGTTTTCCAAAGTTAGATTATGATGTGCCTGGGCATGGATTTCTTTTGGTTTATCCCGTTTGAGATTTGATCAGCTTCTTTTTTTTTTTTTTTTTAACTTCTTTATTGAAATACTACGTGCATAGAGTAAAGTATGTGAAATATGCAAATCTTAATTTTATAGCCCAAATGATTTTTATATATGTCATCATTACCCAAATCAAAATATAAATTTTCAGCATCCCCTAAGTTTTCCTTGTACCCCTCCCCAGTACCGACCCCCAGATGGAAATTTTTTTTTCTTTTCTTTTTTATTGCGGTAAGATTGGTTTATAACATTGTATAAATTTCAGGTGTACATCATTATATTTCTATTCCTGTGTAGATTACATCATGTTCACCAGTCACGTTACCCCTTTTACACTCCTCCCTCCCCACTTCCCCTCTGATAACCAGCGATCCAATCTCTGTCTCTATGTGATTGTTTGTTGTTGTTTTTATCTTCTATTTATGAGTGAGATCATACAGTATGTGACTTTCTCCCTCTGACTTCTTTCGCTTAGCATAATACCCTCAAGATCCATCCATGTCACAAATGGCCGGATTTCATCATTTCTTATGGCTGAGTAGTATTCCATTGTGTATATATACCACATATTCTTTATCCATTTGTCCCTTAGATGAGCACCTAGTTTGCTTCCAAGTCTTGGCTGTTGTGACTAATGCTGCAATGAACATAAAGGTGCATACATCTT